AGGCAGACACCTGGCACATTACATTTCAACCCAAATGTTTCAGTTTGACAAAAGGTATAAGCAACTAAAATTAGGGTTTTAATACGGGAGTGTTGAGTGACCCCAGCAGCAGGTGTTGCCAGCACCACCTGTTACTGTGGATGAATACATTTTTGTGCACCGCATGTACATACATTTACACCCACGTACACACACATATATAAAGCTACATCGATAGATACCTCCTAGCTCAAAGGACGTATGAAATCCTCTACTTTACCTCATCTGAGATAAAAGAAGTCAGACAAATAACAGTCTAGAAGAAGCAAAAAAATCACTATCTCCAGTAAGGCTGAGTCCTGAGCACTGCGATGTGACACCACAGTTTAACACTGTTCTCTGCTGCAGAGCATTTTAATGAATAGCTATTTAGCAAATTAAGTGATTCAGATCCCAGCTCTGAAATGTCATTGCCTCTGTACAGTGCATTTCAACATGGAATTCAATTAAGGCAGCTCTTTCAGCTCTAGGAGACCCACATAGCGAGAAGCCTTATAGTAGGGAATGAGTCAGGCTGTAGGGTCTGTGAAAAACAGTATCTGAAAGAAAAAAGGGAAAACCATCTCACAGTGTTTTTCACTGTAAATGCTCTTCGTACTTGTTGTCTGTATTGAAGCCAGCCATACAGCCTCGTTAACAGCAGCTCCACTCATTCCATCCTCCTGGTGATCCCAAGAGCATCACATCTGGGAAGGCAGTGGCCACCGCAGCAGTGAGTCGGGCAGTGCCTTTTGCCAGCATCCATGAGGATGATGAAGGGAGACAAGCTGAACTCTGTGAGCTGGAACAGCAAAGGCGCAAATCATTGATGCAAGGCAAGGAGAAAGCACAGGGAGCTACAGCCGAGACACTAGCTGGCCAAGCCTGTGAGGTTCTACACTTGGTTAAACCCATGTTTCTCCTCTTTGTGTTGTATTCAGCACAGTAACTCTGAAACACTTCAGTCACCCAGTTTTAGGGAACATATCCTCAGTGAGAATTACCCTACCTTGATAGAAACGAAGAAAGGGAAGGAAAATCTGTTGTAGCCATATGGACTCTCTTTCCATCAGCCAAGAGTCACAACCACAGCTGTCTAGAGCTCACAGAAGTGGCTGTGGTTGCCACCACCATCTGCCCTCTCGCATGCAGCTGTGGCCACCCTCCAGCGGACATTTCAGATGCTGACACGCTGGCCGACCTCCTTCAGAGAGGAAAAGACAGTCACAGCAAGGACACGGAGGTGCTCATGCTACCCTTGACTGGGGAATCTTGGTGTGGTTGGAAGGACTACAGGAGGAGAGGAAGCCTTCGCTGGGTGGCTGAAGAGGAGGAGGACAGTCACATCACCCCAGAACACGGCAAGGGGCAGAAGGAGGTGGGTGCGAGTCGGTCCCTGCCATCCCTGACTGCACAAGGGGCAGCTGCTACAATAAAAAAGGAAAAAAGGCAGGAGGGAGAGGGGCAGATTGAGAGATAAACAAAGACATTTCAACTTTTCTAAGTAGTAAATACAGCAGAGTAATAAATGTGGAGCCTTTTAATGGTGCTCTCCTCAAATGGGCTTCTAAATCAAAGTTTTAATAACCTAGTCAAATGAAAATGGCATACAGATGTCAGCAAGCATGTGTACCCATGGGTCAGATTTTTTTTGTTAAAAAAAAATTACATTTGGGACACTAGTGTTATTTTTCATATTGCCATTTGTGCAAAGTATGAGAATACAATCTTAAAATAATGTAGTAATTTAAACTGTAGAATGAATTTCCTCCAATAATTATTTGAGTATTTTCTAAGAATTAAATCCAGTTATATTCTATTGGTAGTGTCACCATATAAAATCACCTGTGAAGACTCAAATCTTCACTTTTCACTTGGAAACATTAGCTACTTTTATTGTAGCACCCATAACATTCCTTGAATACTAAGTTAGCTCTTGGTGTTTATTCTCACCATTTATTCACTTCCTAACAATGAGATTTCTTTAAACACCAACAAGGAAAGCTCTGTTAGTATCACACACTACCATATCAAATGTGCAGCCCTCTGAGGAACCAGGTCTTTTAAGGCCTTGACTACAATAATTAGGAAAAGAAGGTTAATTTCTCTTTGCGGAAAACGCACTGCAAAGGCATAAAGAGTTTTCGTAGCCAGTTTGGACACTAAAAAACAAAAAAAAAAGCCTCTTTCTTTCTATCAATTAAGTCTTCGTGCCGTCATTCCTGACACATGACTACAAATATATCATGATCTAAGTCTCTCTCTGAGGGACAGAGGCAATGGTTATACTTATTAGGAACTATTTCATCTAATAAGTAGAAAATCTGTATGATGCACTTTTCTATAGTTTTATTCTTTTACTTTGATAGATTCTTACTAACAGGTAAACTAATGACATTTTAGAAAACTTGCTTGTAATAGTAACAGTCCTAGTTTGGCATCAGAAAAAGAAACTTGGAATTTTTATTGTTTTGAACTTGAATGAACGAGAAGAAAATCAACTTTTTTTTTTTCCTACAGACCTGCCAAGACAGTGATGGAATTCTGGCTTAAAAGACAGTGAGTATTTTCAAGGGTCTCTACATATTTTACAGATGCTATCACCTAATTTTCACCATCTATAGCGGATCCATGAAACAACAATGAAGTACAGACACGCCTTTCACGGACAAAAAGCCGTTTTAGCTTTTTAAGTTGCGTGAATACCGAGTCTCCTTAGAAGCACACAAATTCTGTGCTCTTAGCCAAGAAAGTTAGCTGACAACTGTAATTAAGAAAACACTGCCAAGAGCAGCTATGTCAGCCTTAATTTGCCCTCGGCAAACCTGGGTATTTTGTCACATACATGTCTTACAATAGAAGGGTTTCCATCATCTATCAGTTTTTCACACTAAGATGTAGAATGGATCTGACATCAATGTTAGGATTAACATTAGGAAAGGGCTGAATTAAACAAGTACCCACTTGCACTCAGTACCACCCCTTTACACCTGTACAGCTAAGGAAAGGCTTAGATCTGACAAAAGATGATTAGAGCCAAAGAATGAACAAAATCACTAAGATCAAGCATTATAACAACAATAATCAAATGCCAGAGCAAAAGTAGAGAAGTTACTACTATCTGCAAGAAAACATAATTTTACATGTCTGCAGGATTGCTCTAGTTTTGTAATATAGAAATTAAAATAATTTTTGATTTGATATTTCTCCATAGCCTTAACTTCAAATGAGAGCAGTATAAAATAGGCATCTTGTCCTAGGAGGACAACAAACTCCTGTCCCTTTTATCAGCAAAGTCACTGAGACAGTTCGACCAGGATCTCTTTTTAGCTCCATTTCAGACAGACACAGTAATAAAGAAGTTTAAAAAAAAAAATGCCCTCCCAGTTTTTTAATTTTAGATGGCAATCATTGCTATCTTTGCTGAAGCTTGGAAAGTTCAAAGTTGCACTGGGGTACTGGGAAACCATTTGCTTTTTCATGAAAAATTAAGATGAGAATAGCATTAAGTACGTATCAAACCAACTCTGATTCTGCAAAACGATGAGTGAAACAAACCTTTTAAGCTGGATGGGATTTCAGCACAATTGTAATCTGAGGATCGGGGTATTTTAAAAACCAAACGCACTGTGTGCAGCTCATGCCGGTGCCTTTACAGCAGAGCCCACCCTGCAACCTTGAAACACGAGTTTGTATTTCTCCGTTTTAGCCGGCTGCCAGCTTTCACACAAACTGGACTCTGGGAATCCTGCCCCTGCGCCCCGGCTTAGATAAGAAGCGTGTATGTTGATTTCCCTGGGGAGATCCTGTTAAAATTTTTGTTTAAATTAGCCTAAAATAGAAGACCATTGAAATTCAATAGCTTGTATTTCATTCCCAGCTCTCTCAGATATATTTTACGATACCGGACAACTACCTTATCTCAACAAGGTGTCCTTTGTTTACCTGCCTTATTTATGGTCTCAGTTCTTTAAAGCTCTTCTATACATTTATAAAGTACTTACTGCTAATGAAATCAATAATGCAAAGGGCAAAAATTGAAGCCAGTAATTAGTTCCTTAAGGCCTCCTTTTGAAATATTGGTGATATTGGAGATAAATCAAGGAGAGCAAAAAAAATTAAGGCTTTTTGACAGCATGACAAACCAAGTGGTCGGATTGCTATGATAGCTCCTGGCAAATCAGTACCTGAATAATAAATGAGCGTGCCATTTAAATGAATTAAGAATCTACTTCAGCTAGAAAGCTTTTACTGAACTAGTGCCCTGCTCCATTGAAAGATAATTGATAAAAGTCATTTCAATCACATGAATTAGTGAATTGAACCACCTGAATTAAAATCCAAGTATGCCCAGTGGAAAAGGCAATTTGCAATAACAGAAGCTTCTGATGTGCTTTACAAAACAAGCTTCGCATCCGTCCTTCTTTATTTAGAGCAATCGTTCCTCTGAGGAAATGAGAAAGATACAGAGCTGGGCTGAGGCCAGCGCTGGCAAATCTCCATTTCAGAAGAGCAGTTGCATCAGAGCCAGTCAATACCGAAGGTTTCTCCGTGAGTAAGGCAGCCTGGGGTAAAAAGGGTGGGATGCTGACGCAGGGAGAAAACATCAAAGCATGACACAGTCTTTTAGGAAACTGAAACAGAGTGAAAAACTAAGATAAGGCATTTTTCAAAACCCGTTAAAGAGACCGTGGGACTGAGTCCTCAGCGGTGCCAGGAGTTCCAAAATAACCAAAGGTATCAGGGTAAAAGCAGATTTTCTGATGCTCGCTATTGAGCAGGCGAGCAGCTCAGTCCTCACGGGGGGGATGGCAGGGAGAGCAGGGGCACAGCTTCTGCCAAGGTATTACCCAGGGAAAGCGATTGCTCCCAGCCCTGCCCTCTTTCTAATAACATATCCAAACGGCAGATAGAAAAAGATGAGATTAGGTTCAAACTTCCAAGCTTACCACAAGGCTTGCACTGCAATGATATATAGCATACAGAAAGTTATTTCTTCCAAAACACCAGAAAAGTCTAACGGGCGCGTACCGGCAGCCCCTGGCTGCAAGAGGAGGATGTGATGCGAGCTCAGACTTCCCGTGGAACGCACAAGCAGCAGGAGGCCAAGCAGAGAGCGTGATCCCAGACAAGCATCTCCCACGCAGGAGCGGCCGTCAGCCCTCTGGGCTGGTTCTGAGCTCAGGACTGGAGGGAGCGGCCAGAGGAAAAATGTGTCATGTGAAATGCAAGTCCTTAAACTCCCAAATAAGCACCTTGGTTCCTCTGGCTTCATTTAGATGTCTAAAAATTAGATGCCTAAATACACATTAGTGATCTCTATGGTGCTTTGCTGTAACTATGATGGTGTAAGGACATATGCCAAAAAGGGGTTATAATTAACTTTGAAATCTGCCGCTCTTATTTCAGATGTGAAGAAGAGCTCATACGCTCAAAAGCTTGTCTAATTTTTCCAACTTACAGCAGCTGGTCTAATAAAAGATATTATCTCTGCCTACAAATCTCATCCTGACTAATGACCCCAGGTTCCCTTTATAGCCATGGGAGAGAAACAGTGACAGCAAAAGAGCAATTTATCCCACATTGAGATAGGTGTCTGATGCAGGCCTTGGACTTACCTCTTTCCTTCCATTAACTTTAAAGAGATGCTACAATCACTTGCTCTGACCTGACATTCAGCTTTCATGTATCTAAAATTGAGCAGATGAATCCTTCTGCACACAACCAGGTAAATCACACCGTGATCGCTTTTTGTATCTGTTGTATCTGCAATCTGTTTTTTCCAACCTCCTGTCTATCAGCTGGATGCTAGCAGTGCTAAGGACACATATTCTCTGCTTTATGAAGAACTTAATCAGATACATGGGCAAAGTGTACTACAGTTCAAGAGGCCGAGTGGCTGCATAATTGGAGCAATAAAGTATTATGAAGGACAATTAAGATTACCTGGAAGGAGCTGCATCCATAGTACATGTTTTGGAGACCAGAAGGGTGGGGAATGACTCCTGCCAACCTACAGAAAACATTATGCAGTTCAGACTTTTGGGATGGATGGTATCTCCTGAATCTCCACAAAACCATGGACCTTCCACAAAGAGCAGTCAGAAGAAAAATTTCTAGTATTAAGCCTGAGATGGTA